TTTGAACTACAAGGTTGGTGGTTCAAACTCACCAGTGGCTCCTTGGAAACCCTGTGCAGGGTCACTATGAGTTGGAACCAACTCGATAGCACACAACAACAACAACAACAAACGATGACTTTGAACATACCCTAACTGAATTTAGAGATTATTGCAAAAACAGATTTGATAAATTAGACACAAATGACCAAAGACCAGACAGAGAGTTGGTGGGATGACCTCAGGAACATCATACAGGAAGAAAACAAATGATTATTAAGAAGACAAGAAAAAAGACCAAAACGGATATCAGAAGAGACTCTGAAACTTGTTTTCCAGTGGAGATGCTAAAGCAAATGGAAGAAATGGAGGTAAAAGAGCTGAACAGAAAATTTCAAAGGTCAGCTTAAAAAGACAAAGTCAAATATTGTAACAAAATGTGCAAGGACCTGGAGTTAGAAAATCAAAAGAAAGAACACATTCAGTGTTTCTTAAGCTGAGGGAAGTGAAGAAAAACTTCAAGCCTCGACTCGCAAAATCGAAGGATTCTATGGCCAAAATATTGAATGATCCAGAAAGCATCAAAAAAAGATGCAAGAAATACACATAGTCACTGTACCAAAAAGTAATAGTATATGTTCAACCATTTCAAGAGGTAGCATATGATCAAGAGCCAATGTCTAGGGTGCACTGAAGGCATTAGCAAAGAGCAAGGCTCTGGAAACGGATGTAATACAAATGAAATCTTTCAACAAACTGATGTAACATTGGAGGCACTCCACTCATCTATGCCAAGAAATTTGGAAGATAGCTCTCTGGTCAACTGATTGTAAGAGATCCATATTTGTGCCTATTCTAAAGAGAGGTGACCTAATGGAATGCAGAAACTGTTGGGCAATAACATTAATATCAGATGCAAGTAAAATTTTGCTAAAGATCATTGAAAACACGGCTGCAACTGTACATTGACAGAGAACTGCCAGAGGTTCAAGCCGAATTCAGAAGAGGACATGGAACTAGGGATATCGTTGATGATGACAGTTGGATCTTGGCTAGAAGTAGAGAATATCAGAAAGATGTTTACCTGTGCTTTATTGACTATTCAAAGGCTTTCAATTGTGTAGATCATGAGAAGCTATAGACAACATTGTGGAGAATGAGTATTCTGGAACACTTAATTGTGCTCATGAGGAACATGTACATAGACCAAGAGGTAGTCATTCAAATAGAACAAGGGAGCACTGAAGGGTTTAAAATTAGGAAAGGTGTGCACTATAGTGGGTTGTATTATTTCACTATACTTATTCAATCTGTATGCTCGCCAAATAATCTGAGAAACTGGATTGTATGAAGAACACAGCATCAGGATTGGAGGAAAATTCATTGAACAACCTGCAGTATGCAGATGATACAACCTATTTAGAAAGTCATCTTTCATACTTCAGACATATTATCAGGAGGGACCAGTCCCTGGAGAGGGACATCATGCTTGATAAAGTGGAGGGTCAGTGAGAAAGAGGAAGACCCCCAATGAGATTGATTGCCACAGTGGCAGCAGTAATGGACTCAAGCAGAGCAATGATTGTGAGGTAGGTACTGGATCGGGCAGTGTTTTGTTCTATGGTGCATAAGGTCACTGAGTTGGTAAGGACTCAATGGCACCTACCAACGATTGCTGTCAAGTCAATTCTGACTCATAGGCATTCAAATGGAACAAGGGAACATGGCATAGTGTTTTTGAGACTGGGAGCAGGCAGCCTCATCTTTCTCCGTAGAACACTGTGGGTTTGAACTGATAATATTGTGGGTAGAAACGTAACACCTAACTAACCCACAGTGCCACCAGAATTCCTCATCCTCCTTCACAAAATCTACTGCCCAGAGTCCATTCTGACTCACATCTCCTGCACAGAGCGCCTCATGTGTTCGAACTGCTAACCTTAATGGTCCTTAATGATTAGCTTGTTGTTGTTATGTGCTTTTCAGTCAGTTCTGACTCATAGCCAACCTGTCTAGGATTTATTTCCCAGGAGCAGCTGGTGAGTTTGAACCTCCCTCCGATCTTGCGGTTCAAACTGACCTTGAGGTGGAGTGCTTATCCTGCAGTACCACACCAGGACTCCATTTAATGGTTAGCAGTCCAGTGCTTATCCTACAGCGCCACCATGGCTCCTCCTCATCCCTCTATTGTGTTGTGTGCCAATGAGTGGGTTCTGACTCATAACTACCCTGTATTGGGCTCCCAGAGCTGCTGGTGGGTTTGAATTACAGACTTTGGGGCTAGCAGTCCAGTGTATATACAACAGATTCTACCAAGGCTCTTGGTTAACTCTAATACGGCCTCCAGCCTGGCCCAGCCTAATGACAGTTCTACCTTCCCAACGAGTACTGTGTCTTCTCCAACTAATCCTACCCTCTCATTCTACCTCCAACCCATGGGTCCTGGCCCCAATCCCTGGGAGCCAAGCAGCAACACCGCTTCTAGTTGTAGCCCCACCCCTGCCTGGCGGGACGCCGAATACTCACCAGCGTGTCCTTGTTGCTGTAATGAACCACCCAACCTTCACGCAGCGTGGTGCTGGATTTCCGCGTTGTATGTCTCACCGACTGTACAACCCTCATCAGGGGGATGTACCCCAGGGAGCTGGGGGTGGGGAGAGAAGTCCGGGGCGGAAAATGACCACCGATGCTTAGAGCTAGGCGTCAGTCACCTTGGACAGTTGTAAAACAGTTTGTCCCACAGCCAGGGAGGGGACTCTTTAGAGAGCAAAATTCAAAGCCTGGGCTTTGAAGTCCCTGCCTGTAGGTCCTTGGGGATATTTTCCCTCCCTCATTATACAGACAGGGAAACTGAGCCACAGAAAGACCATTCAAGTCAATCAAAGGCCAAGTTGATGGAAAGAAAAGGATATAGTTTACTGGTTTTTTTTTTTTTTAAATGCTCTGTGATTAATAGTGAAACCACTAAAACTGCATCAGAGGAACTGTTCCAAGTACCTAATTTTTATTCACGTAATCCTCACAACAGTCCTATAACTGTACTATGTTGTTGTTGTTATGTGCCGTCGAGTCGGTTCCGACCCATAGCGACCCTGAACAGGGTTTCCGAGGCTATAAATCTTCACGGGAGTAGAAAGCCTCATCTTTCTCTTGCGGAGCAGCTGGTAGTTTTGAACTGCTGACCTTGTGGTTCACAGCCCGATTCGTAACCACTATGCTACCAGAGCTCCTTATAAATGTACTATAGGTGTGCTATAAATGTACACTGAAGGGAGACAGGTACTAGAGGTAGTCACTGACTTAGGGCTCAAGTTAGCACCAACTGTAGAAAACGACTATCTGTTTTTTAAAAAAATCTTACTGTTGAGAGATATGTACTATATACAAGGGGGCTTTGTGAAAAAAATTCCATTCTCTTTTATTCCATTTTTCCCACACACTTTTTGAAGCCCCCTTGGAGAATGTTGCAGTACATAATTTGCTGATATCATCATTCTCTGATCTTTACTCATAGATGTTCAAAGATAAGATTTATAAAGATAGTGACCACAAAAGGCAATTTATAAAAAAGAAAAAAGGAAGTAAACTAAATGTACATCCAAACTGACATAAGAGAGTTCTGGGAACAGAACCCTGTCATAAGTCAGGGACGATCTGTACTTTGTTCCCATTTTACTGATGAGGAAACTGAGGCGTGAAAAGGCAACAGCCTGGTTCTACAGTATATGTTCTTATTCTTTATACTGTCATTGTGCAATACAGATTTTTCTGGAAGGATCCACAAACTGATCTTAGTAGTTTCCTTCCAGGAGAGAGGGAGCAAAAAAGACACATAATATAAATTTTGGGGGAACCTGAAGAATGTACAAACATAAAGGGATGTCATCCCATTGTAGAGATGGGGAAGTTGAGGCTCAGAGCAGGGAAAGGTCTTTCCCCTAGGGTCACAAGAGGGTGCAGTGGATACCTCTGCGACTTGTCTCCCTCGCCTTCCTCCTCCTCACTGGTGTGGAGGGCATTTTCCGAGTGGGAGCCTGGGATGATGCCCGAGTCATCGGAATCATCCATAAGGACACTCTTGTCGGCCTCGCTGTAATCAGTCACCTCCTCCATCGACACATCTAGGGGAGCAGGGGCATTAGAGGGGCTGTCACCCAATCCTGCATCTCCTCTCTACTCTCAGGCCCCCCAACTTACCTCCATTGATAAGTGCTTCCCCCAGACAGTCATTAGGGACACGGGTGGCACAGCGTTTGTGACAATTAAATTTGCAATCTGGTAGGAGAACAAGGAAGGAAGCGGGAGGAAAGAGATCCTCTGTTAGGGTTGAATCTTGACCCCTAAACCCCATGCTCAATAGGGTCAGTTCTAGCTGTGTGTGTCAGGAAATCTGGCAGGTCTTCCTTTAGTCATCCCCCCACCACTGGACTCAGTTTCCCCAACTGCGAAACGGGAGGGCTAGATTCAGTCTGTGACCCTAAAACCCCGTGACTTTAAGGTTCTAAAATTCTAATTAGCAATCCATGTTCCATCATCCTGGACTTCTAAAATTCTACAATGCAATGGGTTCTACATTGATTCTAGATGCTGAACACTCCAGAGCAGTTTCTTAGCACTGACACTACTAACATCTTGGTCCAGATAATTCCTTGACATAGACGGTTGTTCTGTGGACTATAAGATGCTTAGCAGCATCCCAGCCTTGACCTACAGAACGTTAGTAGCACCTTCCAAGACTGACAACCAAAAATGCCTGCAAACATTACCAGCATCCCTTGGGGGCAAAATTATCCCATCAAACTGCTTTGGAATTTGTTGACTTCATTCTAAGACACTATACACTATATCAAAGATACTAGAGCTTGATGGGAACCCATTTTGCCAAGGTTCTGTGAGTCTACACTTACATGACTCCAGAATTATACAGGTTTAGTTCCTAGGACTTCACATATCGTTGAGTCTAGAGTTTGAAGATTCTACAGTTCTGGGATTCTAGACTTGGAAGACTCCTGAATGTCCAAGGTTTCAGGATTTTAAATATCCATACTCCAGAATTCAGTGGTTCCACAGTTCTATGAATCTAGACTTCGGAGCCTCTAGAATTCAATGCTTCCAAGGTTCTAGAATTCAAGAATGGAGGTTTCTATGGCTCTTTAGTTCTAGACTTTTCGTTTTGTTCTCCTAATGTTTTAAAAGTTGGCGATTCCAAGGAATGATAGCCCTGGATGGTTCTAACCCAATTGTTAGTCTAGAGTTCAGGTAATCTAGGTTTTTGATAGGTTGAAGTTTTGAGATTACACATGCCTAGGATTTAGGATTCCATGGTTTAAGAATTGATTATATGATTCTAGACTTCTGAGACTCAAATTTGATGCTTCTATTACAATTCTAAAGTTCTAATGATCTGATAGTCTACCATTCTGTAGTGGTTTGTTGAATTCTAATTCCAGAGTTCTTAAATCCTATGTTTCTAAGGTTCTGGTTTGAGAACAGGTAGGTATTTACTGTTTCAGAATTCCATGCTGTCTTATGAGCCTATACTTCTAAAGTTCTAGGATTTAACGCTGTAGAACTCCAAGGTCCCAGTGACTGACTACAACTCCAGGTTCTAGAATCCAAAATTCCAAAGGGTCCAGAAAGCCATGAGCACAACTGAGATTCTCCCCCCACAAGCCCCACTGAGATCCTAAGGCTCTGACTGGTGGTGGCCTTCTGACCCTGCCTGGCCTCCGTCTGGGTCCCGCTAACCTTTGCACTGCAGGCCCTGGCGGAAGAGGCCCTTGAGGAGTTTCTTGCAGGCCTGGCAGACAGTGGGCCGTGTGTAACTGTGGATGAGGAAGGTGTGGGGCACCTTGACCTTGGAGAGCAGCATCTTGTCCAGCTCGATTGGGCGGCCCGTATAGGATGAAGCAGAAGATGAGGAGGAGGACGAGGGGGGACGGCGGGGCAAAAGTTCAGTGGTGCTGCGGCTCTATCCGTCAGTGAGAGGGGAAGGGACCCATCAGAGTGTTGTCCCATGCCTAGGCGCTGCCACCTCCTCCCTCCCACCAGCCAGCCTCTTACCAGCTCATCAGCCATGCAGGGCAAGGACTCAGAGGTGCCCAGGCGCACTGAATGGCCACTGGCTAGAGACGTGGAGGACAGACGCCGCTTGCGAGCTCCACTGCAGTTGTTGGGGATGCTGAAGGCACAGCGCTTGTGGTAGTTCAGCCCGCAGCCTGAAGGGGGCGCCATATCATCAAACAGCCTTCTCCTAAACCCTCTCTATCCGGCCCGCCCCATCCCTCCCCAAGCCTCATCCCTTTCAAGAAACAATGCTCTTCCCCCAATCCCCAGGCCCCGCCTTCCTCCCAGAGGTCCACCTCCACCCTAGGAAGTGCGCCCCCTCTTCACACTCCAGGAAACACTCCCCGCCAAACTCTGCAAACCGCCCCTTTTCCATTTCACCAAAGAAGGCCTCTTTTCTACACTGAAGTTTGTCCCGAAGCTCCGCCCCCAGCTCCAGCCCTCTACTCCACTCCCAGACTCAGGTCCTATCCGCCTCCCTAGAGATCCCGTTTCCCATTCCAGCCTCTGCTTCAAATTCCGCCCCTCCCTTTCCTGAGGCTACTTTGGTCCCCAGTCCTTCCAGAAGAAACCTTCCCACCTCTGCAAAAAGCCTTCCTCCAGGTTCTCCTATCTCCATTCCAACTTATCACTTGCCCCTCCTCCACCCTTTATATCCCTCCAGCTCTGACTGACTCTCTCCACCTTCCTCCCTTTGTAAATCGGGAATACAGGAGATCCATAGACATCTCAGTACTTAACCACGTCCTGGGATTAAAGTCATTGGAAAACTACAATAAATAAAACCGAATTCAGGCAGAATTGCTAATGGCTCAGTTCTTCCAAGAATAAAGATTTTTGTTATCCCACCAAGCAAAGGCATGGAAACAGCTGCCAGGCTTGCTTAAAGCAAAGCAAATAAAATGGATAGTGGAAAAAATAAAAAAATCCCACTGTCTTTGCCTCGATTCTGATTTATAGACCACCTACAACCACATGCATGACCAATTACAGAAATAAACTCGTTAATAATTGAGTATTTCTTATTGTGTTATGAAAGCATGAAGAAGATATATTAATAATAAATCCGTTGCTCTCAGCTGTCAAGTCATGGCGACCTCATGTGTTACAGATTAGAACTGCATTATAGGTTTTTTTTAAACTGTAATCTGTAAAATTGTTGGTTTAGTCCCTGGCTTGTGATGACATATTCAAGTTGCATGGAACCAGACTTAAGACTTAAAAAATATATATGTAAGGAGCCCTGGTGGGCACAGCTGATTAAACATTGGGCTGCTAACAGCAAGGTCAGCGGTTCCAATCTGTCAACCGCTCAGCAGGGCAAAGATGAAACTGGCGGCTGCCCCAGTAAGGGTTTTCAGTCTTGGAAACCCTATGAAGCAGATCCACTCAGTCCTAGTTGGAACCAACTAGACAGCAGTGGGTTGTTTTTGTTTCTCAATCAAAACAGGCACCACATACAATATTGCAGCGTGTAATTTGCTAGTGTTATCATTCTCAGATTCTCCTGGTGTGGCTCGGAAGGATCAGCACTGGACTTTGAACCACACGTCCGCAGTTTAAACTCATCAACTGCTCCTCGGAAACCCTATACAGGATCGCTATTAAACAGCAACAATCATTCTCAGATGTTCACTTGCAGGTGTTCAATGTTATGATCTATAAAGATTATGAAGATGCTAATGAAAACTCTTTTTTTTTTTTTAAATCAGGTACTCGACTAACGTCAGAACCAATTTATAACAGACATCAAAACAGAACCCTGTTCTAAATCAGGGACTACCTGTATTTAAACTACAGGCTGTCAAAGGTGACCAGTGAATATCACCCAAAGCCTCTGCAGTCTCTTTGGAGAGGGTTCACGTGTTTGCAGTTGTAATCAGTATACAGCTGATCATATTAGGCAAAAGTATGTATGACTTAGTTAGTCTTTATTTACAGATTAAATATGATTTAAGTGTATGGATGCCAAGCTGACAATGGAGGGATTTTGATGGTCAGTTGAATCTGTCAACTTTGCCCGGCGAGAGTATCCCCAGTTACTAAATCAAGCACAAATCTAGATGGTGTTGTGAATGTATTTTGAAGGTATGATTAAAATCGATAAGCAGTTTAATTTTAAAGAAAGGAGATTAACCTAGTTAATCTGGGTGGGATTGATTCAACCAAGGGTCACCGGGCGTCAGAACCCACTTGAGGGCATTTAACAAGAGCAGAGCAGAAACTCCCAGATGAAGAAATTCTGCCTGTGGACAGCAGCCTCAGTCCATGACCTAAGAGGTTCAGTTTGCCTGCCCTCTGGATTTCAGTCTTGCCCCTGATCATGTATGCTGATTCCTTACAATGTTGTTGTTATTAATTGCCGTGAAGGCGGTTCCGACTCATAGCGACTCACAGGATTTCCAAGGAGTGGTTGGTAGGTTTGTACCTCTGACCTTATGGTTCAAACCGACCTTGGGGTCTAGTGCATGATCCTACAGCGCCACACCAGGACTCTTAATTCCTAGCAGTAAATTTCTTAATATCTTAACAACAAGAGCCTCTCTACTACTAATGGAAAGGTTGGGGGCTCGAACCCAACTCAGAGGGCTCTGAGAAGACAGACCTGGTGGTCTTCTACTAATTTTATTTCTCTAGCTGAACCCTTATACAGGTCTCATCTCTAGGTGGGCCACTTCTTCCCCAACTCTGGTTTATTTTACCCTCCCAGTTCCACCTCTAAGGGTCCTCCTTATAGCTCCATGCCACACCCACCGGCCACGCCTCCAACCAACCTTGCTTGAGAGAAATCTCAAGCTCTGCACTCAGGTCCCCACTTCTCCCCTCCAAACCACCCTCCTGCCCCGCCCCCACCCAGCAACATAACCCCTTGGGGCCTTACCATCGCATTTGAGACCTTGGCGTACTAGGCCGAAAAGCATCTCCCCGCAGTGGTCGCAGAAAGCCGGGGCTCGGTACGAGTGCACGGTGAGGGCGTGCGGGCGGATCTGGAAGTCCTCGAAGGTGGCCGAGGCTGCAAGCAATAGAGAAGGGCAGATAGTGGAGCCACACCTGGGCAGTTCTAGGCACTCCCCCAACCGTGTACCCCAGTTACCCGCCTCTATTCTTAACAGTCAAGATTTCTCAGTCCTCCAAGGCTGTTCTCCAACAAATACCTATTGAGCCCATGCACTTGGCACAAATAGGTTAAATGACTTGCCCAAGTTCACACAGCTAGCAAAAAGTGGCGAGATTTTCCAATTTAAAGTTCCCACTCTTAGCACTGTACTTACTACTTTTTGAAAATGTAAAGGCAGTAAGTGCTAAGGAGACATTTTAAGCAGGGAGAAGAGACAGAGAAATAGGTAGTTGGGGCGCTTCCTGGAGGAGGCGACACTGAGGCAAAAACCAGAGAAGGGAAGGGTACAAGCTTTGCTGGTATCTAGGAAGAAAGCATTTTCAGCAGCATCATAGTAGCTCCTTTTAAGTTTTTTTTTTGGGGGGCGGAGTTTCAAAGAATAATAAGAGGGACTTCAAAATGTTCATGGAAAATGGGATGAAAAGATAATGGAATTTTTCCACAAATTTCTTGAAGCTCCCTTGTATATGGAGAGCAGTTAAAACAGTGCCTGTTGTTGTTAAGTTGGTTCTGACTCACAGCGACCCTGTATAGGGTTTCTGAGGAGTGACTGGTGGATTTGAACCACCGACCTTGTGGTTCAAACCAATCTTGAGGTCCAGTGCATTATCCTGCAGTACCACACACCAACAGAAAATGCTCAATAAAAGCCAGGAATCCTGGTGGCATAATTGTTAAGCACTTGGCTGTGAACTAAAGGTTGGCAGTTTGAACCGACTAAGATGCACCACAGCAGAAAGACCTGGCAATCCACTCAGTAAAGATTATTGTTGTTGTTGGGTGCTGTCCAGCTGGGTTCTGACTCATAACCACCCTATGTACATACAGGAAAATAGAGCGTTGCCCGTCCTGAGCCATCCTTACAATCGTTGCTATGTTTGAGCCCATTAATGTAGCCATTCTGTTCATCCATCTTGGACAGGGTCTTCCTCATTTTCATGGACCCTCTACCAAGTATGATCCCCTTCTCCAAGGACTGGTCTCTCTTGATAACATGTTCAAAGTATGTGAGACAAAGACTCTCAGGAGCATTCTGGCTGTACTATTCCAAGATAGGTTTGTTTGTTCTTCTGGCACTCCATGGGTTATTCAACAGACTTCCCCAATGCCATATTTCAACAGCATCCAACAGCCTAGATAGAAAACCCTATGGCGCAGAGTTCTACTCAGTCAAAACTCACTATGAGTTAACTAACCACTTGATGGTACCCAGTACCAACTATCTGAAAAAAACAAGTTTCATTTTTGGATTAGAACTCTGTTCTTTCTCTTTCAACATTTCCATCTAATATTAAGAGAGTTTTATTGAATGTTTAAGGAGCTCTGGTAGCGTAGTGGTTACGAATCGGGCTGCGAACCTTAAGGTCAGCGGTTCGAAACTACCAGCCACTCCGAGGGAGAAAGATGAGGCTTTCTACTCCCGTAAGGATTTACACCCTCGGAAACCCTGTACAGGGTCGCTATGGGTCGGAACCGACTCGACGGCACTTAACAACAACAACAACATTGAATGTTTATATATGAGTATTATTCACTGGACGTTCTCTTAGGTGTCAAGCACTGTGGAAACCCTCAGGATAAAGCCATGACTCAGACATACACTCGGCTCTCAGAGAGCTGACTTCCTGGGGAGGAGACGGACAGGAAATAATCACATAAAAAAACATGGGAATTTTGGACCGTGTTGGATGGGCTCCTGGTATGGCGCTGTAGGATCAACACTGGACTTTAAACCACAAGGTCGTCTTTTCAAATTCACCAGCTGCTCCTCAGAACTGACTCAATGGCACTTACCAACCACAGATGCTCTGAAGAAAATAAAGCTGAGTGATAATATGGAATGTGACCAAGAAATTAGTGATTTTTGGAAGGGTGGCCAGGGAAGGCTACTATGAGGAAGTGACATTTGAGCTGAGAGCCAAAGAAGGAAAAAGCTCTGAGAAAACCATGGGGAGGGGCGCATTTCAGGCTGAGAGAACAGCAAGTGTAAAGACCCGGAGGTAGGAGGGAGCTCAGTTTGTCCAAGGGATCCAGAGGCAAGGTAAGCATGATTGGACAGAGAAAATAAAGAGGAGCGTATTAGATCAATCCAGGGAATTGACAGGGGCCAGATCATGCTGGGCTTTGAGGCCATGCTAAGGGGTTTGCATTTTATTGCAAGGGCAATGGGGAGCCATGGGAGGATTCTGAGCAGTGGAGAGTCATGATCTACTATTGCAATCATCTAGGTGGGAGATGCTGGTGGCTTGGACTAGTGGGCTTGGTAAGAAATAGATTCAGGATGTATGTTAAACAGGTATGCTGATGGATCAAGTAAGGAAATGAGAGGAAAAAGAGGAGTTAAGGATGCGCTCCTCCAACTCCCTTCAGGATTCAGGGCCTGAGAACCCAAGTGAATGGTGATAGTCTTTATGACACTACTAAAGACTACAGGAAGAGCAAGGAGCCCTGGTGGTACAGTGGTTAAGTGTTTGGTTGCTAACTAGAAGGTTGGCAGTTCAAATCCTCCAATTGCTCCATGGGAGAACAATGTGGCAGTCTGCTTCCAAAAAGATTCCAACCAAACAAAATCCACTGCCATTGAGTCAATTCCAACTCATAGCGACCATACAGGACAGAGCAGAATTACTCCCCAGGATTTCCAAGACTGAACATCTTGACCAGACCAGACCAGACCAGACCAGCTCATCTTTCTCCAGCAAAGTGGCTGATGGGTTGGATCTGCCGACTTTGCAGTCAGCAGCCCAATGCTTAGCCCACAGCAGCACCAGGGAGGGATCCTTCCTAGCACTGTGTTGTTGTTAAGGACCGTGGAGTTGGTTCCAACTCATAGTGACCCTGCACAGGGTTCCCGAGGCTGTAAATATTTACGGGAGCAGAACACCTCATCTTTCTTCCACGGAACAGCTGGTGGTTTCGAACGGCTGACCTTGAGGTTAGCAGCCTGATTCGTAACCACTACACTACCAGAGCTCCTTTCTTAGCATTGTACTTAATGCCAAATACCAAATCAAGCTTCTGCCCACCTCAGGGCCTTTGCATTTTCAGGGCCTGATTCGTAACCACTACACTACCAGAGCTCCTTTCTTAGTACTGTACTTAATGCCAAATACCAAATCAAGCTTCTGCCCACCTCAGGGCCTTTGCATTTTCTGTTCGTTCGGGTCTAAGGTGCTAAGAACTTTTATCTATAAAATGGGATTGGTGGGTGGGTGAACCAGATGCTGGCTGCACATCAGAATCCCCTGGGGAGCTTCAAGAAATAGAAGTTGAAACCAGTCCCCAGAAATCCCCCTCTTACTCTCCTAACCCAGTCTCCATCTTCCCCAAAGAAAGGCACCTGCCTTCTAACTCCACAGAGTGATCTTGTTAAGTCTTCTGTGTTGGGTGAATTCCAAAGCACGAATACACCATGATTTATTTATCCATTAGGAGTTCTGGTGGAGCTGTGGGTTAGGCGTTTGAACCCACTAGCCACTGAGGCTGCCTGCTGAGTATCTGTAAAGATTTACAGTCTCAGAAACCCTATGTAGGGGGCGCTATGGGTCAGAATCCTGGTGTGAACAGCAGGTTGGCAAGCTCAGCAGCCGTTCCTCGGAAATCCTATACAGGGTAGCTATGAGTCGGAACCGACTCGACGGCACTAAACAACAATGGGTCGGAATTGGCTCCATGGCAGCGCGTGGATGGGAACAAACTTTGTAAAAGTAAAAACGTCCCCATAATAACAGGCACTGCCATCTCACCGATTCCGACGCATAGAGACCCAGAGTACAACAGCTCCCTAAAGTCCTGGTGTGGCGCCGGAGGATAAGCACTGGACTGCTAACCACACAGTTGGCGTTTCAAATCCTATAACTGGGTCACTATGCGTCAGAACCAACTCGACCCTACTTAAACAACAGATTCCTATAGAAGCAGCGGGCCTCATCTTTCTCCCACGGAGGAGTTGATGGTTCAAGCTGCCAACTTTTGGGTTAGCAGCTTAACGCTTAACCCGCGGCACCATCAGTGTTCCTAAAAGCTCCAGGATGATTTTAATTTGAAGCCACGAATACGAAACAGAACCACACTAGGCTTGGAACTTTAAGAGGCAGGTTTTCAGAGTACAACTCAGTCCCCGCCCACCTTCGGATGCCACGCCCCCTCACCAGACAGCACCACCTCCACCAGATCGCCTTCCTGGATGTCGCCGGCAGAGCGCACCAACTGCAGGAGATTGGCCGATGTGGGGTCATGTTTGAAGAGCAGAATCTTGTCATAAAGCCCATAGAAGCCACACTCAGGGAACTGCAGGGCCGGAGAGGGAGGTGGCAATGGTTAAGTGCAGAGTTGCCTTCGCCAGTGAACTGGAACCCTCCCCCGAGCAGGGCCTTCGGTTTCCCCTGGAAACTAGGGACCCTGCAGTCTTGGCTTCCTGTTGGCCCCCTATCAACCTCAGCTAGAACCGGGAAGGACACCAAAGCCCCAGGTGTGCTGGAAGAGAGATCTGGCTAGAATTGGGGGGAGGGTACTCCTGAGAACAGACACCTGGATTTTTTCCCCTCTGAGTTTGGGAGGGGACAGGCTGAGTGAGCACCTCCATCCCTATCTACCACCCCTCACCCCAGCTTCCTTCCTGAATCTATTGTTTTCCCTGGTACCTGGCTCCAGGCCCAGCACTGAGGCGGGATGAGCTGGAAGGAGGGGGATGAGGCCTTCTGGGGAGTGGGAGATGGGGTGTGCTCCCCAATGTCTAAAGGACCCAGGTGTCTGGGTCCCCCGTTTAGGGGACAGGCAGGAAATGAAACCTGGTAGAACAGAAAGTGAAACTGCCCAGGTGGAGCAGCTGGAAGGAAGGAAAGGGGCCCCTCACACACCTGGGACCTAGGAGGGGATAGAAATGAAATAATGGGCAAAGAATTTGACCATCTAACAATCTTACCCCCTTTACCCACCTATCCCACAACTGACTCACCATAGCGCAGACTGAGGGGGTGGGTTGGGTGTGGAGGGGAGGGGTAGGAGTGGAAGCTGAGCCTGCTATATTTGAGGGTCTGGGGGTGGTACACTATCTGTTCTCCCCTGCTGGAGGGAAGGTCCCAGGAGACCAGGTCTGTCTAAGTCTATTTCTCTAAGTTTGTTTTCTTGTCTGTAAAACGGACTGGGCCCAGTTTCTGATGTTCCTCTGAGGCCCAAAGGATTCATTGCGATGAGTCTGAGAAGATTCTGGAATTTGGATACTTGGGGACTCTTAACATTCTAGGATTCCAACAACCTAGATTATCACTTGTTGTAACTGTGAATAACTGTTAAATCAGTTCGGACTCAGAGTGACCCTGTATAGTGTTGCCAAGGAGCAATTGGTGAGTTTGCACTGCTGACCTTGTAGCTCAAACTGAGCTTGGGATCAAGTGCCTATCCTATGGTGCCACACCAGAACTCCAATATTTGAATAGTGTTCCATCAACCCACCATTAAAATATTCTAGCATCTTCATACTCTTTAGGGTTCCAACCCCGTAGGAATCTATCAATCAATCCAACATTTTAATGTAGTATTTCCACAACCTAGGATTCCAGTATTTCAGCACCTGAACATCAGAAAAGCTCAAATCCATGCCAACAATTTAGGATTAGAATATTCTAACATTTTTACTGACTCGTCCTGGTATGTTGCTGTGGGACAAGTATTGGACTGCTAACCACAAGGCTAGTGGTTCAAACCCACCAGCTGCTCCTTAGAAACCCTATATTGTTGTTGTTAAGTGCTGCTGAGTCGGTTGCTATGAGTCAGAAACGGCTCAATGGCACTTAACAACAAGTGCTCTAACAGGAGACTAAGCACTGGACTGCTAACTGAAGCTTAACAGTTCACTCAACAGGGTTTGGAAACCCTGTATGAGGTCGATATGGGTTGGACCGCACTAGATAACACTTTGCAACAACAGTATTCAAACAAAGGAGCACTGATGATGTAGTGGGTTTTGTGTGGGGCTGCAAACAGAAATATCAGCAGTTAGAGTCCACCAGCCTCTGCAAGGGAGAAAAATGAGGCTCTCTGCTCACATAAAGATTTATAGCCTCAGAAACCCTATACGGGATCACACACAAAAACAAACTCCCTGCCATTGAGGCAACGCACCGCTACCCTATACGACAGAGTAGAAATACTCTCTAGGTTTTACCAGACTGTAAATCTTTATGGGAGCAGACTGCCTCATCTTTTTGGGTTTGAACCTCAGACCTTGCTTAGCCCCCTGCAGCACCAGGGATCCTTTCCAACAACACAGAAATTCACTATTCTATCTTTCAACATCCTAGGATCTGGACATCGAGTTCCACTTGGTCTCCTCTTGCCATAGCCCCCACCCTGCTGATTCTTGTTCTAAAGTTAAGGGTGAATTCTGGTGGCTGGAGACCCGTTTCACAGGCCTCTTACCAGACCTGGGGGTTGTGATCACTGTCGTTAGGATAGGGGGACAGGTCTCCAGAGTTTCTGGGGATAGAGTGGGTGCCTGCCCCTCAGCACACTTCTCAGGCCTGGGGGGACAGGGATTGGCTAGGTTCTGAAACCTCACTTGCCCTGGTGCCAACAAGGACACACACACCCACAAGTGTTACCCGATCGCCAAGGCCAGCCTGGCTCCAATTTCTAGTGTTTCCACCAAATGGGAGGCCTGGATGGGTTAGGGTGGGGAGGTCCTACCACATCTGCTTCCCCCACCTGCCCCTTCCTCCCCTCCCTACACCTGGTCGGCCCCTCCCTTCCTCCCTGCCCGCTGCACAAAACAACATGCAGAGACCTGCAATTTGGGGAGGACTCTGAGCACCCCGCCCCTGCCCAGTTTTCCTTCGAGCGGGTGGGGTGGCGCGGCAGTTGGGGTCAGTGGCCCCCCACTCTTCAGTAACCCGAGACTCAAGAGCCTTTTGTCCCCATCCCCCACTCCAGGTCTCAGGTCTCTCTGCAACCAGCTCCCCGAGGCCCGCCCAGCAAGCGGCACAGAGGGGAGAGGGGGAAGGGGAGGAATCCGCGCCCGCACCTTCTGGTCCACGATGGAGCACGCCAGCTGCTTCACATGGGCCAGCTCCGAGGCGGCGGGCAGCAGCACGAACTCGCGCGTCAACCCGATCTGGATGTGAAAGGAGACCCCAGGGCCCGGGGCTAGGACCTGGGGCAGTAGCGGTGACGGCGATTGGAGCTCCGAGCTGGGGCCGGTGGGTGACGGAGATCCAGGTCGGGGAGAGCCCGGGAGCCCCGCGGGATGGGTGGGGGCGGCGGCCATGGGGGGCGGCCCGGGATCCGCCGCCCAGCGCCCACCCCGGAACCGGCAGGGAGAGTCCGGGTGATCCGGATCACTGGATCTCCTAAACTGGCGGTAGGAGCGTGGGGATCCTCGGGATCCTGGCAGGTTGAGGGAACCCAAGGATGGCGGGATCCTGGGAAAACAGACCCTCAATAATCAAAAGATCACAAGAGACTCTAAAGGAATATCTATTGGTTTGGGAATCGAACGATGGAGAGAGTCTAGGAAATCCGAGGAGAAAGTCTGGTAGGTTGGGAGGTCGGAGATTAGGGGATCCGGGATGCCAAGGGCCTCCTGGAGGTAGAAAAGATTGAGAAGAAAGCGGGGTGGGGTGAGGGGGGTGGAGAATCCCAAGAACCAGTTGATCTACGAAGAGGATTCAATTAAGAAGGGGATCCGAGTGCTTCACCAGACCTTGGGGTGGCGGGCAGGAGTCGCTGAGTCGAGGATCAAGTAAATCCTGGGGGGTCCGCCGAGCCGGAGGATGGACAGAGAGGTTCCGAGGGCCGGGGTGCTGAGGAAGGAATCTCACGGGTCTGAGAAGTTGCAAGAAAGTTCGATCCCGAGGATGCGGGAAGGGGGGCGTTACCAGCGGCGGGGGTGGGCCAGGGGAGGGTCGCCCGGCCCCCGCGGCTCTTTTCCCTTCCAAAGTTTAACTCGGCGGCGACGGCCCAGGAGGAAGTGTCCGGAGAGACGGCGCAGTCGGCCAATAGGCGCCGGAGCCGATGACGTCAGCGAGAGGGGCGGGGCTCGTCGTGGGGCTGGGGACGGAAGGGGAGGGCGGGCCGGCGTCTTGGAGTTGAGGGTGGGACGTTGGCGCCCCGCCGTGAGGAAGGGGTGATGGTGACTGGGGCACTAATTTCCCCTCCCCGGCACCCCCAACTCTGCAAAATTACTTTTCCCTAAGCTGGAGAGGGATGGGCGGGCCACACTTAGCCCAAGAGGTAGCAGGGGCCCGGACGGGGGAGACGACTGGCCCTTTAAGAAGGGGGCCCTGTCTAGCCTGGTCTGCTTCCGGCGCCCACCGCAGACGGGGTAGGAAATGGGGTGCCAGGTCTGGCCTGCTCTGGAGGATCAGTCTGCTCTGCCCCAAAGCGTCATCCCTGCCCCAAGGAAAGGGGCAGCCGAAAGCAGAACCCCTAGCCCATTCTACAGGTGGGAAGACCGAGGCCACCAAAGGACTTTGCCTGAAAGACTTGGCCAGGGCACAAACTGAACAGTGTTAACTGTGCCTGGAAGAGTCAAGCTTGGAGAGGGTGGAATGTGGGACGGTGGAGTTTCCTTAGAAGCCTTCGGAGCAGCAGTGAACCAAAGTCCTGGGGGATTTCTTCAAGATCCGGCTAGAATCCACGGGAGATGCCAGGCCCACACTTCATAAATGGAGCCTGAAGCCCCTGACAGAGTCCTTCATGGATGTCTTTCTCCCTAAGCAGTTGATTAGGTAGGTGTCCCACACTCCTAGCACTGGACTACTAACCATAAGGTCGGTGGTTCAAACCCACCAGGCTCTTCTCCGAACAAACCCTATTTAGGCAGAACCCACTCAATGGCAGTTAACAATAGGAAAAGGTGCTCTGATGACACCGTGGGTTAAGCATTAGGTCATTTAATTGAAAACATGGGTTCAGAATCCCCAGCTGCTCTATGACTGTCTCCGAGTTGGATTCTGCTCCACGAACGACAGTGGGATATTTATATGCACACACAACGGAGCCCTGGTGGCTCAACAGTTAAGTGTTTGGCTGCTAACGGAAAGGTCAGTGGCTGGAACCCACTATCTGCTTTGCCAGAGAATGACTTGGCAGTCTGCTCCCACAGAGATGACAGCCTTGGAAACACTATGGGGCTGTTCTCTATCCTACAGTGTCACTCGAGTCGAGTCAGAATTAACTCAATGGCAGTGGGTACATGACAACTCCGAGAGGATTGTTGTAATGAGATGAACTACAAGTGTCTGGAACATGGCCCAAGTCCACTCAACCACAATTGTTGGGAGAATGGCAGGGGTTTATGGGTGGGCATTTTTATTGTCAATCACCATTGAGGAGCTACTGTGTGGGAGATGCATTTTTATAAAACATTTGAGGGGGAACCCAGACTTGATTTCTCGTCCATGGTTCATAATTCAACAGTGGCAACCATTAACGGACATGCAGATTCCAGAGGCACAATGGCTTGCGTAGGACCCGAGCCACCTGTTTCATGAAGAGGTGCAGGCCCAGGTTTGAGCTTCAGAGGCACCCCAGTAGGATAGAGGAGGGGCTGGCCTTGGCCTCCCGCTGTCAGGGGTAACTGAGGTGGGTACAGTAGCGATTCTTCACCACATCCGGAAGCCGGGACTGGAAAAGGAAGTCTGAGGCCAGAGCGAAAACCCAAACCACCACCTGGGGAAGCTACAGAGCCCAGCGGGATGTCGGGGAACCTGGTCACGTGGAGCCACAGCCAGGCTCCCATCAGCACCCTTTAAGGCAGCTGCTGCCTCAGTACACTACTGCTACATCTGGAGTTTGTGGTTGCATGACCAGCCACCAGCCTTTACAACCTAGGAAGTGGGCAGTACCGGGAGTTACTCAGACCCTCAGCTGGCTGGTGGTGAAGGCTTTTGGTAGGCAGAGGACTTAAGCAAACAAATGTGTCTAGAGGTCAGAGTGATGTGCTAAAGACCCTGATCCAGCCCCTTGACCACTGGCCTCCGGATGGCCTCACCTTTGTGAAATGAGGGCACAGGGCTGGTTTCTGGTCATGACAGCATTGGTCACTGTGATTCAGCCATCTCAGGGCCCCGCAGTGAGAGTGAGCACCCTGTCCTACGAGCCTGCCAGACCTGCCCCACTGCTTTAGGCAGCTCAGGTCCTTCATCAAGGTGTGGGCCCCCCCTCATTTATTACACAGGCCCCTGATAGCACAAGGAGTCATGAGTAGGACTGTCACATCAACTGGCTGCTGCTGCTCCCGGAGAAGGTCTGCTTAGGGACAACACAGGGGATGGGAGATTTGCTCCTCTGCCCCTACTTCCGCCTCTCTGCACGCCCCCCCTGCACTCCCACAAAACCTCAACTCATCATATCCCTCTTTCTTCAAACCCCACCCAACTCTGGCTGGCCCGGCCCATCCTTCCTCCCCACCCCAGAGGCCCCTAGAGCCCAAAAGAGCACCATCACCAATTACTCCAAAGGGTTTATTGAGACAAGTGTTCACGGACAAGTCCAGGGGTGGGGTGGAAGGGGACTTATAAACAGGAACCTTGAAGGGGGACCCAAATGAAGAGTGAAATAAATAGAGGAGAGTGGGGGGCAGGAGAGCAGAGTGACAAAGACTATCACACAGTGATAACAACCATGGGGTCCGTTAAATCCCATTCTTTATACAGAGATACAGGGAGTCTTGGGCCCGGCCCCCACTCCATCCTCCAGGCCCTGTGGGTGGGGGCTGGGGGCTGCTCTGGGAGGAGTGTTGAGGAGGAGGGAGGTGCCTGTCCCCAAGGCGTCCCTCAACCCCATAGGCAGTTACTGGCCAGGGGCAGCGCTGGTTAGTGTCCGGGTAGAAGTGTGGAGAGGGCTGAGGGGAGCCTGGGATCCCGGCTTAGGGGTGCAGTGGGCCCAGAGAAGAGGGACAGTCTGGGTTCTCCTCCTGACATAGCTCACACCCAGGTCTGAGGATGGAGGGGCAGCGGGGCTCGAGGGGGAGCCTGACAATGTCTTGGAGAAGTGGGTCCCAGAGGCCTTCTGGCCTGGCTCTGCTGCCTCAAGAGGGCAGTTCAGACACCCAAGTAGGAGTGGGGGAGTCAGGATCCAAGAAAAGTGCCCAAGGCTGTCCTTGTGGGGGGAGGAGAGGCCATTGGGGCTCCTGGGGGGGCCTTTAGCACCACCAGGCTCAGAGCAGGTGGGGAGAGGTCAGGCCTTTGAGCCTCCGGTAGAGGACAAGAGAGTGACTGGACCACAGCTGGCCTCACACCCCTTTCTGAAAGGCCCAGGCCAGCCATCCACACAGGGTGTCCCTGGGGACCCTGCCCACAGGAAACGTCGCCCCGGCAGGGTGAGTGAGGGCGTTCTGCTGCCTAAGCAGGAGGCCCAGCAGCCCTCACCTCAGCCCCCCCACCCCCCCTGGGCCTGGCCCCCTCCCCAGCCAGTGTGGTGGTCAGGGCGGGGCCTGGTAGGCATCATACGAAGACCTTGGCCAGGGCATCGGCGCCGGCGCTGGCAATGAGGGCCTTGCTGGGGTGGCAGGCCACGGCATGGATGGCCTCCTCATGTTTCTTGCGGTGGGCCGTGATTTCCTGCACGCATGTCTTGTTGTCCAAGCTCCACAGACGAAGGGAGCAATCGTGACCTGTGTGGACACCAGAGGGGCCATCAGCAAGCTCCTCTGAAGGCCCCCTACCTGAACTGGGCCTTGGTCCTCAGTCCATGTCTTCACCAAGTATATACTGAGCACCTGCTGTGTGCTGGCAGTGAGGGTACGTCAGGAACAAAACAGGCAATGAGGCAGTGAGGGTCACAGTGGGCAGAAGTAAACCCACGAGGAGACAGAACAAGCTGAGAAGGCATCGGGCAGGACGTAGGCAGGAGTGAGCCTGCAGTGTGAGGACTGACCAGAGGGCAGGTGGGGAGCAGCCCAGGCAGTCAGAGGGAAGGGCAGCGAAGCAAGCAGGGCAGGGCCGGGGAACGTGGCAGGACTTGAACTTCAGGGACACAGCCTGACCAAGGTGCTGGCTCTAGTTGTGTGTGTGAGCCCCATTTTCACAGACACAGCTTCCAGGATGGAGCCCCCTGGACAGAGCTTAGCCCCAGAGCAAACACAGCTCTTGTGAGGGAGATGGTGAAGCAAGGGGAAGAGGCCGAGTCAGGTTGTGCCTGACTACTCTACTGTGCCCTCTACTGCTCCAGCTGTGTACCCTGATCAGGGCTGGTGCTGGCTAGCAGAGCCCAGTACAGCCCAAGCCCCTGGCATCCCGCAGTATTCCAGTCCCCCAGCTTGCCCCGTCACCTCCTACAGCACTCTGGCCCCTTTGCCACCTCAGCTCCCATCTAGGCCCAGCCCCACTCACCCAGGACCCTGTTCACAGACAACACGGTGGGATTCAGAGGTAGATGTTAAGTGCTCTGAAGTCAGCTCTGACTCATGGCAACCCTGTACAGAGTTTCTGAGGAGTCGCTGGTGGGGTCTTTGCTTATCCTACAGTGCCACTCCAGGAGTCCCAGAGGTAGACACACCTGAACTTCTAATCCTGCAGCACCTATTCTGAGACTCAGTTAGGCTGTTTCTCTGAGCCTCAGCAAGCACATCTGTAAAATGGGGATGGGATAGAAGCATCTCCCAAGGCTCTTTCGAGGACTAGACTACACAGTGTGGGTCAGGTACCCACAGGGGCTCTGAGCAGGCCAGGCTTTGCTATTCCCATCTTTAGGACCTGTGATGACCCAGCAGGCCCCAGAGCACTGCCATTCTCTGGAGGGGCCAGAGGCTCTCAACTTACTTCCTGACATCAGGAACACGCCATTGGGGTCCACGGCTAGGCAGGTGACAGCATCCAGGTGGGCTACCATGGAGTGCACCGATTTCCCTGTGAGGACACAGGGGGCACGGTGAGTGACTATCCTGCTTTCAACCCTGACTGGGGGGAGGGGTGCAGGAGCTCACAGCACCAGGGTGGGGGAGGCTGAGAAGGTGGGGCCTCACCTGTCCGATTGTCCAGGAAGCGGATGCCTCTGTCGTCATGGGCGGTGATGGTGAGGGGCTGGTTGGGGTGACTCACCACCTGGTTGATCTGGGTCGGGCCTGGCAGGAAATGGGGCGAGAGGGAGGGACGTTGGGGGAAGGTCAGGAAGACTAAGACCAAGTCAAGAGCACAGATGGTGCCCATCGCTCGCTCCCCGGCCTAAAAGTCACCATGGGCTGAACACACAGGCCACTTCCTTCTCTGGGCCTTGATGGTGCACCCCTTAAGTGGGCACTTGCCCTGCTTGTGAAGGGTGTATATGGCCGCACATGGGAACGTGGAGGCCTTCGCTCCTCTCAGCCAGAGAGCCCGCTGTCTGAGGGGCGGCGGGCCTGCACTGAGCCTTAGTTCCTTCCTGCTCGGAAGCCCAGGCTCAGTGCCCCTGAGGCTTGGGGCCTTTAGCTCCTGATCCCACAGGCTCCCTTACCGCTGCTCCCTCGGGACTCCAGTGTGAGGAGGGCACTGCCAGCCTCTAGGTCGTAGAGAACGGTGTCACCAGAGCGGAAGGAGGCCACAATGTGGGCAGGCTGAGAGCTGGTGAAGGTCACTGAGGTGGGGATCCCATGCTCTGGGGACGGAGGGAAAGCAGGCTGCCTGAGGGCCCTCACCAGGAGCCTCTCCTCCCCTCCGGGATCTGGTTCTGATTGGAGCGATCAGGGGTCCCCATCCACTCACCACTGGCTGTGGGGAAGGTCTGGAGGCAGGTCGGGCCGCTACTGCTGGGGTCCCAGATGCGGACGGTGCCATCAGCAGAGCAGGAGGCTAGGCGCTGGGAGGTGGGATTAAAGGCCAAGCCCCACACAGCATCCCCATGGCCCTCCAGGACGTGGCTCAGCACACTTGGGTCTGGGCCCACCGAGGGGAGGAAACGTTGGGTCAGGGGTGCTAGCCAGGCTGACCTGAGAGAGCCCCAGATGGTCAGGCCTGACTTGGCCAATCCCTCATCTATTCTACACAGACTCCTTCATGTCCCTGTGAGTTGATGACCATGCTAACCACCGACTCTTCTAGGGAGGCTCTGGCACCCGGAAAGGACGCTCTGGGGGCAGGGAGCTCATTGCTGTCTTCCCAGGGCCCAGAACAGGGCACTAAGAGTGTGCGATACATCACTGTGAGGACTGAATTAGGAGAAAAGGAACGGGGTGGGCCTGGGAGCCTTGCTGGCTGCATGTAACCTCTGCTCCACCAACATCCAAGGCTCTCTTGGCCCAGGCAGTCTACCCTGCCCTGCCCTGTCCCAGTGAGCCATCAGGTCTCCGGGCTCCCTCAGGTGTTCAAAGGTGTCATCACTGATTCCTGGCCACTTCGGTCCCTGCAGGTGGCTCTGGTGTGAGCACTGATGACATTTGCTGTGAGGCAGAGCTTGCCTGCATGTAGCCCATGATGCCTGGGCCTGGACTCTGACTGAGACCCTGCCTCTGGAAATGGTGTAACCGTCGTGGGGAGACCCAGCTCTTTAACTCTGTCAGAACAGGATGCAGCACAGGGCTGTGTTTGCCATCACGGGGGTTAGTGAGGACAGACCCTGGCAGGGCCTCACTTCCCCACTCAACACCCACAAAAGGGCCCCTAGGTTAAAGCCCCACACTCTTCCAACCTGACTTCTCCAGCTCACCTTCTCTTTTCTCCTCAAAGCTGTCCCATATCATGGACACAACTGCCTAGGCTGACCCCTGCATGCTGTCTGAGGGCACAAGCCTCACCAATGCTGGTCACTGGCCTAGGGTGCCCTGACCTCTTGCCCTCCAGAGTCTCCAGCTCACACTAATTCTGAGTCAGCTCAGCCTTTCCCTCCTCCATGAGACACGCCCACCTCACCCCAAATCACCCACTATATGGCCAGCACCTTAGGCAGGGCAGGACACAAGTGGGCACTGTATGTGTGTTGAGGGAACAAGGAGGCCCTGTGCCCAGAAGGGGATGAGCAGAGGGAGAAGCCGGCCTCACCGTAACCATCATAGGGGTCCATGTTGAGGTCTGGAATCTTCCAGCTATGGATACGGGCATCTGCCCCACCACTGTAACAGTATTCGCTGTTGCTGCCCATGACTACTGCCAGCACAGGACCCCTGGAGGCCACAAGGGGGGAGAGCAAGGGAGATAGAGAGCTCAGAGGTACCCCTACCACCCCAGGACCTTCAAGGGCTCTGCTAACATTTTTGCAGGGTGACCAAGAGGACTTTGCCTTGGAGGCTCTGGCTGTGATTGACAGGTGAGCTGCCTCCACCCAGCCCTCCCTATTCCCTCCTCTAAAAGGCTATGGGGATGGTCACCAGTTTCTGTGGGGTGCCAGTGTGTGTGTGGGAGGGGTGCACACTGGCACAGGAGAGGAAGACCAACTGAGATGGCAGGGAGGGCAGTGAGGGGTCAGATTAGACCATCTGTGAGATGGAGTCTCAGGCGAGCTTGGAGGCACTTCCCTACCTGTGAGCACGGAAGGCGTGGATGGGTTCCACATCGAGCGCAGAGTTCCTGTGGGGAGACCGAGCAACAGGGTGGCTTGAGACACCCCCACCTCACCCCTGGGCCTAGGTGCCCACCCCTGCCGAGCCTCAGGGGTCACTCACTTCTTGGCCGTGGCTGCCTTCTGCAGGTTCCAGAGCTTTAGTGTGCCGTCCTCGGAGGCAGTCAGCAGGGCCGCCTGGCTGACGTGGAAAGCCAAGGCGCGGATGCCGTCATAGTGGGAGCGCAGGGTGAACTTGGGGTTCCATGTTTTCTTGAAGGCATCTTTGCTGTCGGACAGCTGTGGGGGTGGAAGTGAGGGTATGCTTCAGTGACATCCAAGGCGCCAAGGCTCCCCTTTCCCCACCCGGGCCACCGGACTCCTTAGCACCTGGGTGCTCTCCCAGTGTCTCTGTGATGGATGTTCACCACGGGCCCAGCACTGTGCTGGGCATCAGGGGCCCGACTAGCGCATTCCACAGGTACACAGGATTCTTAGACTCCCACCCTGAGCAGTCTCTCCTGAGGAAGCAGTATGTGAACGACTATTGTTGTTTTGTGTCTGACTCATATGGACCCCACAGGACATGGCAGACGTGCCCCAGGGGGTTCCCAAGGCGATCATCTTTGTGAAGCAGACTGCCTTATCTTCCTCCCATAGAGTTGGTAGGGGGTCCCAACCACCAAGCTTTGGGTTAGCAGCTGAGAGTTTAAGCGCAGTGACACTAGGGCTCCTTCTGGAACCTGAAGAACTGCCCGAATTCTACTTAGTACTTCACTACGTGAGAAGTTTTTGTTTTGTTTTTTTAAATGAGGACGTCAACTCAACAAGCACAGACAAAAACCCTAAACCAAACCAAACCAGTTGTGACTGAGTTGACTCTGACTCAGTGACTCTGTAGTGATAGGACAGGAAGAACTGTCCCACAGGGTTTCCAAGGTTGTAAATCTGTAAGGGCACAGATATCCATCTTTCTTCCTCCGAGCAAAGTGTGAGCAGCCAGGCACTTAACCACTGTTCCACTAAGGCAGCTACAACAGGTGAACCAACACCTGACAAATGAGCAGACTTTACCAGATAGGATAAGGGGGAGGAAGGCTCACAGTACAAAGGCCCTGAGGCTGGCGACAGCGAGGCGGCGAGCAGTGACAGGAGACCTGTGTAGCTGGAGAGCAGAAGGCAAAAGGAGCAGCAACCAAAAGGCGCCTTCAGAAATCAGCACTTATCCCCTCGTCCTAAGAAAACACTGTGGAACGGTTCAGAGTAGGGGCAACAGGACTTGTGTTGGCCACTCCACTCAAAACTGGCATCAGAAGACAGTAAGAGTAGCCCCAGATGTTGCTAGACTATGTGAAGATGGATCACACCCCAGTATTAAATAAATTAATAACTCCATTAACAATGGGAAAAGAAAGGGGCACATCTCCAGAGGATGTAAAAACTGGCCAATAAACACGTGAAAAGGCACCTGACATCAGTGGTCACTATTTCCACAGTATGTCGAGTTGATTCCGCCTCATAGGAATCATAAAGGACAGAGTCGAATGGCCCCATGGGGTTTCCAAAGCTGGCATCTTTACGGAAATAGATCAACACAGCATTCCCTCTGGAGTGGCTGGTGGGTTTGAACTGCCAACCCTGTGGTTAACAGTCCAGTGCTCATCCTACATGCCATCAGTGTTCCTGTGAGTCATTAGGGAAATGCAAATCAAAGTCACAAGGAAAAACCACTTTACACCCATGAATACAGCTATAATCAAAAAGCGCTAGCAAGTGTTAGGGAAGATGTGGGAAAACCTCATATCCTGCCGGGGGGAACAGCAAATGGTGTGGGTGCTTTGTGAGCCGGTCAGGTTGGTGGTCCCTCAAATGGTAAAACACAGTTAACCATGTGACCCAGCAATTCGTCCAGAAGAGGCAAGGCCATAGAGACGAGGAGAGGACTGTTGGAGGTTGAGGGCTGACAGGTTTTTTTTTTTTGGGGGGGGGCGGGGGGGAGAGTTGAAAAGTTTGAGCGGACTGCTCTGAGGACGGTTTCTACCTTGTGAACTAACACTAAACCCTGGTGTTGCACGCTTTCCTCTAGTGAAGCCGGGCAGTGTCGGAATCTATCTCCGTCCAGCTGTTAGAGTAGCTGCGTGAAGAAGCCTGGAGAGCGAGGGCCCTCTAAGATGCACACCTGACCGTGGAGATGGGGGCTGTCTGGGAGACAGAATCGCCAGTCCTCCAGATGGTGGTGCTGTTCACTGACTAGGGGGTCCTGGGGGCGGGGGGGCTATGGCTGAGAGCAAAATGCCAGGCAAGTCTCAGCACACCTTCGGAGATGGGCTTGATGAGCCTCCTCATCCAATGCCTGCCTTAGCTGTCACTTCGGCCACTGATGTTGGTGGGGCCACCCACCGGCTCCCGGAGTGGAGTGTGGGACACCTCCCTGCCCACCTGCTGAGGGGTACTCCCCGCCACGCGCCACTCTACAGCAGCGTCTCCAGCCTCACTGTGCTCATCAGTCCTTTGAAAGTCTGCTGGGGAGCATGGGTGACAGGGGCAACAAGATGACACCCATACCAGGCCACAGGCGCCCGGCTTAGAACACTGGCCATGGGACACCATGCATCCCAGCTTGTCTGTCCCATCGATCCCGTTCACACCAGAGACGCCAGAACGTTCTGCTTTTCTGCTTGAGGACATATTTCCAGCTCCCCTGCTGGTCCTCCAGGTCTGAAGTACCAGTTTCCCACGTCCCAAATCCCTCTAGTCCTCCAAGCATAGTCCTCCAGACGCCACCCTCAGGGCCTGCCATTCCTCTGACTTGGTGGGAATGCCAGGCAGTGACTGAGACTGCAGACCTTTGTGGCCCTGGTCAGTCCCGGGTGCCCGGGCAGTAGAAGGCTCTTGCTGAAGCTCATTCTCAGCGTTGGGAATGCTGCCCAGGCCATCCCCAGGTTCTGGAGTCACGTGAGCATGGGCAGGGCCCAGTGGGGTAGGGGCGTCCCATGAACTTACATCACAGCTGAGGTCGTTGTCATTGGTGACGGTGAGATCTGCCAAGTCCCCCAGGCTCACCTCCCCGCCCCCGATAGTGTCCATGATGAAAACGTCTGAGGAGAAGCCAAAGGAACCTGGTGGGGGGAGGGGAGGGAGGGTGCAGAGGGGGGGCAAGGAGAGAGAGAGGCAGAGAGAGGCCGAGGGGGGCGGTAAAGAGGAAGAAAGGGAGATGGAGTGGGTAAGGGCAAGAATACAGCTGGAAAGAAAGAAACAGACAGACGGACAGGGCAGGACAAACAAAAAGAGAGGGAGACAGACAGACAGACGCACTTTTGGGACAGGGAGGCTGCAGGCTAGAGGCCAGGCCTCCACTCTGAGGACACAGAAACCCTGGCTTCACTCTGCAGCCCTCCCCTGTAGTGAGCCCCTCAGGATGGGGGTGTTCCCTTACCTTCATGGGGACGGGGCTGGGGGGTGCCAGGGGGTGGGCCAGTCACTTTGAGAGGTAGCCCATCCACATCTCGAAGGTCGGCCAAAATTCCTTGCAGTTTGACCCGACGGCTCTCTGGTGGGACGACATGCAAGATAGGAGTCACCCACCCACTACTGCAAAGGTTCACGCAGGCCACGCCACCCTCACCACCAGAGGCCTCAGAGGCGATGGCAGCAGTGACTGGGGAAGCCCTGGCCCCAGGGTGCATTGGGCCTGTAGGGGTGGAGAGGCCAGAGGAGCCAAGCCTGAGTTGAAACCTCAGCTGCCTAGCCACGCCCCCTGCCCTTCGATGGTTGTCCTGGTACTAAGGCATAGGCTAGGAAGAGCCGTGCTCATCTGGTCCCTAACCGAGGTCACAAAGGACCAGAGGCTGACTGGGGTGGGCTGGAGGCCCCTCACAGCACGGGGATTTTCCAGGGAAGGGGTGAGGGGCCTGACCACTCTCCTCTCAGGAAGTATATCCGTCCGGCCCGGGGACAGGAAGCAGCTATGGGGGCTGGGTGTGCAAGGAGGGGAGCTCTGCCCCCTAAGCCCTTCGCAGAAGAAGGCGGACCAGAAACGTCCCCAACTCACCCAGCTCGAGGTGGTTCCCGTCTCCAGTACAACGTCGGGGGTCTGAAGACCCTTCTCCATCCTCCCCAGAGCCCAGGAAATCAAACTCATTGATGGCATCCTCAGAGTCATCTTCCTCATCTTCATCCTCCATTTCTGGCAGGGCCTTGGAGGGGAGCTGGGGCAGAGAGAGACAAGGCAGGTCAGAGGCCAAGCCCACCTGGGGCTTGGAGACAGACCAGCCTGGATGGATGGCTGGCCTCTGCTGCTTCCAGCTGGGATACATGCACATACAGACAGAAAGACAGAGACAGAGAGCTATGGAGCTCCCCCTGCTGCAAGCCTTGAGAACTGCCTTATGCCCAGGGACAGGGAAGGTTGTGGCCCCTCCCTAGGAGGCTATGCTTCTTCTAGTCCTGCCTAAGAGCACTCGAAGGAGCCCTGAGGGTGCACTGCTTAAACGCTAGGCGGCTAAATCTGAAAGGCAGGCTGTCTGAACTCATTCAGTGGCTCTGCAGAAGAAATACCTGGCAATCTGCTTCCAAAAGGTTTTATACCAGTGGCAGTTCTACTTTGTCACAGGAACCGGAACTGACTACAGCATCTGGGCCCTCTGCTGTGGCCCAGGCTACTTAGCCCACCTGCTGGGCACTTACTCCTCAGCATAGCACACTGACCCTGAGGACAAAGCCATCAGGGAGGGGACAGCTGTGTGTGTGTGTGTGTGTGTGTGTAAATGGGTGCACGTAACAGAGTCAACGAGTCAACTCTGACTCACAGTCAGCCTACAGGAGAGAAGAGACCTGCCCCATATATTTTCAAGGCTGTCCTGGCGTGGCGCAGTAGGATATGCACTGGACTGTTAACTGCAAAGTCAGTGGTTCAAACCCACTGACTGGAAACCGTAGACAAGGTTGCTGTTAGTCAGAACCAAGTCTACAGCACTGATAGGAACAAATTGTTATGGAAGCAGACAGTCACCTTGTTTTCCCTCAGAGCAGCTGGTGGTTTTGAACCACTGACCTTCCAGTTAGTAGCTGAGCATTTACTCAGTGTGCCACCAGGGCTCCTTCACCACAGATTCAAGAATAAGACAGTAAAACCCAGTGTGCCACCAGGGCTCCTTCACCACAGGTTCAAGAATAAGACAGTAAAACCCAGGAAAGCCAGCACGTGTATAAAAAGCAGACCTGGCAGAGAAGGAAACACCATCTTTCGCATGAAAACTAGTGATAAGACAAGCGGTAAGACTGTGCCCTGCTAAGGGCAGAAAAGCAGCAACAGCCGGAAAGAGCAGGTAGTTCTGTCTCGTTCCAGCGCTCTAGGGTTTCACCGTAACAGTGAACCAGCATTAGCACTTTTGTACTGATACAGTGCACTGAGCCCCCCGACGAGCAATGATAAAACAGCTTTGCACACATCTTGTCACCAGACCCCCACACGGCCTGTGGTCAGTGGGCATCGTCACTGTAGTTAATATCCCTGCATCTCAGATAAGGAAGTGGAGGCTGAGAGAAGCTACTAGTTCCCGGGCTATGCTGGGCTCTTCCTGACGTGCCGGGGAGGGGCCTAGATTTTATGTGGCTCCCCGAGACTTTCTTAGCACTTTCTACATTGACCACTTTTCTGTTTTACTATATAAAAAGCTTTTACATACTACTTTTAGAATGAATCCCTGAGTGGTGCAAATGATTAAGCACCCCGACAATTAGCCAAGAGGATACGATTCAAACCCACCCACCACACATGCCTCAGAAGGTAAACCTGGCGATCTGCTTCCAAAAGGTCACAAGCCTTGGAAACCTTGTGAGGCAGTTCTAACTCAGCACACACAGGGTATCCACCAAAGCTTTTCGGATGAGGAACATACTGCAGTTCATTCCACTCAGGGGAAGGGATGAAAACGTCTGCTGGGGACTCTAAGGTGGTCTCAAGCAGGGACTACTGCTATTTGTAAGTGCTGTCAGGTCAGTTTTGACTCAGAGTGACCCTGTATAGGGTTTTCCAAGGAGCAGTTTGTGGGTTTGAACCGCTGACCTTATGGTTAGCAGTCCAGAGTTGATCCTACAGCGCCACCCCAGGAATCAGTCAGGTTTCCTGCTCTACCCACGACCCACGTGAGAGCACCCAATAAGCACGGCCACAAAAGCTACTGACTGCATCTGAGTGTGCACTCTTGACCCCGTCGTAATGCCCACGGACGTCTGACACACCCACCATCTGGGTTTGCAGGTTGGGAGGAACCACACAGTCTGACTAGACACAGTTTGGGGACTTAGATTTTCAAAGCCAATTTTAAAAGGTTCCGTTTCTGCCTTAAGCCCTGGCTTTGCAAGTCTGACCACACGCTCCTAGCAGCCACAGATGGGATGGGGTTTCCAGCCTCGCTGGCTGTACAGCAGCAGCCCCAGTGAACATCTGAGGAGAACGCTATTGTCGTGGGGGGAGCACCGGGAGAGAAGCCGAGTGGAGTGACCAGCTTTCCTATGGGCAGTGTCTTTGCTGCCAACATGGACTTCATGTCCACACCCTACGGAGCTCCTCAACTGGGCTTCAGGATGAGCCAGAGGCCCAGCCCCACATGCTTGAGTTACAAATAGTTACTGAGGCCTGCTCTAGTCCACACCCTCCCTCTTCAGGGTGCTGGGGACAGCAGCCAGTGAGACCCACACGGTCCCTACCCTTGAGGAGGTGACAGTCTATCAGAGGAGACTGTCACAACAGTACCATGGAACCACAGCTGTGACCAGGCCGCCGCCCAGGAGAGAGGGGAGGTGACAAGTCCCCACACAGTATGGAGGGGACCCAGTGGCAGGCAGGGAGCTCACCTTCACACGTTGTTTCTTGTGCTGCACGCTGTCCAGCTCGTCATCCTCGTCACTGTCCTCATCCTCACAGTTCTGCAGAAAGGGCATCTGCTCCAACATGGAGCCGCCCAAGTGCTCTTTGCCGTCTTTGCCTGCCGCATTCCTGCACAAGACAAAGGGTTGAGGAGGCCTTAGTCCAGCAGGTGACAGAGCCCAATGGGAAGGGGACAGAGCTTGGGCCCACTCTAGGGGCAGCTGAGCCTAACCTTGAGCCCAGAGCAACCCCAACTCTCACACATGGAGTTCTGAGAGACATTACCCCAATCCTGACCCCCTCGCTCAATCTACAGACTGGGCCCTTGCTCCCTATTGAACCCCCATCCATGTTCTGAAGGACAAGCCCCACGCCTGACTTGCCCGTCTCCCCATGTGTGCCCAGACAGAAGGAACATTGATCGAGAAAGTGCCTCTGATGCAGCAGGTTTGCTCCCAGGGTCTGGTCAAACCACAAGTTCAGGTCAGTGTGTCACCAGTCACACCCCAGCAGGAAAGAACTGACCAGTGCTCCATACCTGCAGGCACTGACTCTGCCACAGAAGATAGCTGGCACTACTCCAGTGCCACCTGCTGGCTCACAGTTTCCCGCCCATGACAGGTATCAGCAAAGGGGGGGAGAGGTGAGCCTGACCCAGGGGGAAGCAAGAGGGATGGGACTTCAGATAACTGCCAATGTCCCTCCTATTTCTGCCATGAGGTGGACATTCTTGAGCCGGATGCACGCAGCATGCTGAGGGAGAGCACTGCAGCTTTTGTTTCTCCTTCCCCCAGGTGAGGGAGCACTTGGTGACACATCGGAAGCACTAACTGGTTAGGGCTGCTAACCAGAAGGGTGGTAGTTAGAAAAAGAAGACCTGGTGATCTGCTTCCCCAAGAGCTATACCCTCATGTGAGCCCAGCACAGCTGGGCCCTCCCTGCTTTCAGACAACCTCATGTACACAGCTTTGGGGAACCACTCGCCACCCGGTTTTCCCTGGACAGAGGCAGCTGGCACCTCCAGATCCCAGTCCCTGAATCTCTCCTCAGTTCCAGCTGTCCCAGAGGAGGTGAACACTCATCCTGAAGCCACACTGGCCACTTGGCCTCTGCTTAGTTGTCAAATAGCCACTAAAAGCCACTCCCAGTTGTTCAGACCAAGCTTGGGAACCACCGAGTTCCCGTCAACAGGAACATGGGGAGTGTGACCATGGCTTTTCTGCTAAAGCTCGTCTTCTGGACACATGATGGGGGTCTCCTAGTCCATTTCCCTGTCCTTCCCCAGCCCTTCTCCAGCCTGGCCTTCTCAAACAGGACCACGTTCCATCGATGATATGTTACAGCCCTGCTCACAACCCGCAGAGAAGACTCCAAACTGCTTTTCACGGTCAATGAGGCCCATGTCCTCCGCGCTCACTGCGCACCAACTACTCTGGTTTCTCAGTTCTTTCTGGAACCGGCCTAGTCTCCTGTCTCAGAACCTTTGCACCTGCCATTTGCTCTGCTGGGAACATCGTCCTTTCAGCAACCTGTCCTTCGCTCCATCCACTTCTGTGCTCCTACTTCTCTTCCACCGAGAGGCCCGCCCTCCCCGCGTCACCCCGCCCAGAGTCTTTATCATCACCGAACTATGCCTCATTTATGTTGGTGCGTGACGTGTATCTGAGGAAAGCACCAACAAGGAAGAGCTTGCAAAGGGCGGTGTCCAGGTCTGTTGTGTTCTCCAAGGTATGCCTGGCGCATGGCCCAGGACCTGCCTGCCGTTTTGCTGAGGAACATGTCCAGGTCTGAGCCTGAAAAGGCTGGCTTCCAGATAAGGCAAGAGCATGAGGCCTGAAGCAATGGGAAAGTAGAGAGGGCCCCAGAACACTCTTGGGAATCCAGCAATGACAGGATCGAAGCTCCTGAAATAACCAAGCCCATAACATCCGCCAGGTGGGGAAGTGGCCAGCACAGTTCCTGGGAATATCTTCTGGTGTTTCTGACATTGGCACTGGTCAGATGGGGGTGGGGGTCAGGGCGATGGAGCCTACCAGGCTCAAGGACTCACCTCTTGATCTGCTCCTCTATCTGTCGCACCAACAGTGACTCGCCGCCACTGAGCACCCCAGGGCCTGGCGTGGCCCTGGGACCCCCTTCACTGGGCTCCACAGCCCCATTGAGCTCCAGTGACCGGCCTAGCAGAGAGCGTACGCGCTTGGACCGCATGTCCAGGATGGTGTCTGTATAGCCCACCTCTTCCAGGTACCTGTGGGAGCGGAGTCAGTTCAGGTCAGACCTGTTCTGGGCTTCACTATCCACAGCAGGAGCCCGCCTACACCTGGAGAGCCCTTCCGGAGGGCAACTTTTTGGAGATACCAAAATGGGAAACCAACTCAGCACACCCTGTTGATGACACTTCGTGGTAGAAGATCCCAAGCACCGATGTGCAGTGTGACTGGGCAAGGACATGCCGTTTAGGAGAGTTGAAGTGCAGGGACCAACCTCAGTGTCCACCGAGAGGGACACTAGGCAGGAGACAAATGAGGCAAGGTGGCCATGGTAAAGAGCCAAATGACAACTGTCAGTTCTATGTCCAGCATAATAAAAATGACTGTTTAGTAACAAAGATGTGAACACTGTGGCTAAGTACACACAGCACACGGGAAGTCTCACACTCACACTATGTCCTGTAAGAGGCCTGAGGAGACACACATTCAGCTTAACAGGAGTGAGCTCGGTAAAGCAGGGACTAGGATTTCAAAGGGAGAACAGAAATTTCCAGGAGCCCTGGAACCTCACTGGTTTAAGCATTTGGCTGCGAACCATCAGCTTGGCAGTTTGAACCCACCAGCTGCACCTCGGGAGCTAGACAAAGTAGCCTGCTCCCATACAGATTTACAGCCTCAGAAACCCTACCGGCAGCTCTAGTCTGTCCTACAGGGTCACTATCGTCACATTAGACCCCAAGGCAGTGGTTTGGGTTTGCAATTTACAGGCAGTTCCCAGGTTACCAATGAGTTCCCTTCCTGACTGTGTGACCTTAGGCAAACACGTCATCTTGCTGCACACTTCAGCTTATTATTGATCCCCATTGTGGAAGTAAGGGGAAGGATGGTCCTTACACCTCACAGTGATTTCTGTGAGGGATCAAGGCACAGAAAATGGCGCAGGGAAGAACAAACAAGATGGCAGATCGGGTGGAAGGG